CCCGCAACACTCGCACAAAAAAAAGTTTGTCCATGGATTCTGGTCAAAGTATTTGAAGTTGGTTGACCGAATCCCAAACGTATCCCGATCCAGACGGGTTCGGCATAAAAAATGAAGAGTCCGCGCAACTTAGGTTATAAGCAGCCAATCTCTACTTATTTGGTCAATGCCTAACAGAACACTGATTTGCTGTTAACTTGCATTGGGTTCTACTGTGTTTTACTATTTGATGTTTGAGAATAGGAACGTATACACATTATATACAGATTTGAGGAGGGTGTAGAAGATTGATACATAGATTATATGTATGTGCAGAGAAAACCCTTATAAGAAGAATATGATATAGGCTTCAATGGTAATGATGTTGATTATTTGATGAAATATCTCAAAACCGTTGCATCTTGATGAGAAGGAAAATACACCTTTGCCTGATTTCCTTGCCTCCTTTTAATATTTATTGGGTACCTGAATTTTTGCATTGTATATATTAGCACCTCCTTGGTGCTGTTAGATGTAGAAAAATTGCTTACTTATCAAAAGATTTTAGACTTCTTCCCGCTTCTCACATTTGACTATTACAATTTTTTTCATCCCCATTGGTCTTGATCTTTTCTTTCTTTTATTTTAATTGATTCCAGGTTATTTCTTCATCACTGTTGGCATTGGCCACCCTTCTTGATGTTGTGGTCAGCGCACAACCTGAACGGTCTGTTTCAGTAGCTGAGTTAAAGCGTGCTTCTAAAGCCAAGGCCATTGCTGTGTCCTGTGCTGAGAACTTGCTATCTGCTCATAAGTTATTTCTGGGATTTCTGAAGTCTGAGAGCCCCGCTATTCGCTCAGCCACTTACTCGGTCATGAGTAGTTTCATAAAAAATATTCCTCATACTATTAAAGAAACAGACATTACACATCTTGCGGATGCAATACTTGGAGCTTTCCATGAAAAGGATCCCTCTTGCCATTCATCAATGTGGGATGTGATCTTGCTGTTTTCTGAAAAATTTCCAGAGAGTTGGAGTATCTTGAAAGTTAAAAAATCTGCTTTAAGTAGGTTCTGGCATTTTCTTCGAAATGGTTGCTTTGGATCCCAGCAAGTATCATATCCTGCTCTGTTATCATTCTTGGATGTTCTACCTGCACAAGCAGTTGAAGCAGAGAAGTTTCTTCTTGAATTCTTTCATAATTTGTGGGCAGGAAGAAGCTTGAGTTATTCATTACAACTAGATCGTCTTGCTCTCTTTAGAGCGATGAGAGAAGGTTTTCTATTTTGCTTGAAAAACACGGATAGGTGAAGAGTCCACTGAACTTTTCCCTTTGAACTTCTGTGGCCTCTCAACTTTTTATCAGTTATGTTGAGATTTGTCTCTTTTAGTTTCTGGGTATGTATTTCTTCGTCTGATTTTGGGCCTCTCTTCCAGGTTTTCTGATGCAGCAAATTCCCACAGATTTCAGCGGTCACTTACAGATCAGATCCTCTTAAAGCTGCTGTGGCACGAATACCTGTTCTCTGTCAGCTCAAAGAACCAGGAAAGGGTCTTCTCTTCTATGGATTCTTCTGATGATGGCGTTCAACCTTCTCGTCAGGGATCAAGACAACCTAATGTCAAAATTCCAGAGGGTTATGTGCAAGATCTTGGCAAATGCATTGTTGAAATCCTTTCGGACTTTTCTTTACTGGAAGCTGACTTGCTTTTGCAATTCTGTTCAGCATTTCAACAGACCTGCTCGGGTGTATTTCAACAAACAGACAGTTCTGTTGAGAATGGAGAAGGGGTGACCGAGTTCTTGTCAGTACTGAATCAACACGCAGTAAGGAAAGGTGAAACTTGGCCTCTAGTTTATTTGGTGGGACCAACGTTGTCAAAGTCATTCCCTTTGATTAAAACACTCGTAAGTTATTCCTTAGTAATGTAGTCTTTTGGTCATGGTTTTATGATAGAAAATAATTTGGGCTCTAAACCATGGTTGCCTCGGCCCCCCACCCCCCGAGCACCACCAAAGAAATGGAGGGAGGGAGGGAGAGAGAGAGATAGAGAGTCTTGGTGCGTACTACAATGGAATGGGACTGCTAACTGAAACATCTTTTGAAAATTTACTTCACACAGCCTGTGATTTTCAGACATGTTATGGGTTGTTGAAGTAGAACCTGGCAACATAATTGAAACAGGATCTCATGCTTTGGCTTATGCTTGTAGCCTCTAAGTTTTGCCAGTGCAATTTTGTGCTTCATAATAATTCCCACTCTACCATCTGTGGAGACATATATTCTTTGAAATATCAGGAAATTAACTCTTATACAATCATTTTCTGGACTTCTAGGAATATGTTACCAAGAGCTTTTCTTTGCTCAAGTTCACATTTGGATCTGTCAACTTCAACGACTCACTTTCAAATTTGGAAACTGAATTGTCAACTTGAATAAAATCAAATTGTGGAACATATGCACATAATAATTCTTTTTTACTTATACTTGACTCTGTGCTTAAGGATTATATAAGGAAAAAACTTTTTGCCTATGAGGAGCAATGAAGAATCCTGCGTATAGCATTCTCTATGTGTCCGCTGGTATTCCATCTTTCCTTTTACTGCCTTCTTGTGGACTATGGGTGTCTTTTTTACTTTTTCCCCCCCTTTTTCCCTGTGTTAATCTCTTCTGAGAATGTTATGATGCAGGTCATGGTATATCCAAATTCATTTAAGCTAATGATTAACTTTTGTAATGAATTAAAGAAATGGTGACATTTGGCGCTTTGTCTAAGATTTTCAGATTTTGTGATGGTGTCTCAGAGTTTTGACCCTGAATTACGAACCAGAAGTCTAGACATTTTGATCTGTATTCATGTCCGAGCTAGTGAACTTGTTGTATCAATACCCATCCAAAAATAGATGATTAGTAATATCCCCACATTTTGAGAATGGATTTTATCTTTCTTCCCCAGATGCCTTTTTTCCTGATTCTCCTAATTGGTTCTGGCCTTAAAGAAGAAGAATTCTGGTGCTACTAGGGTTTTATTCATCTCAGATCAGTAAAAGAGGTGCACCAGATAATGAAACGCTACTGCTTCCTGATCAAAAAATTGATAGAAAAAGGGAAATTTGGATATTTTCGACAAGCCTGTTTCTAACATTACTTTTCTGTCTATTCAATTTTGGACTTTGAGGAATTTGTCTCCATAAGCTTTCAAAGCCTTGCTGACTACTTATATTAGTTAATATTCAGACCTTAGCCTTCTTTGAAACACTATTTTAGAAATTAATTTGCTTTCAAGGGAAGTCCGAAAACTCCTATAGCTGTAGAAACTTGGCTTCCTTATGTTTCACTACTGAGTTACCTGAATAATGTTAGCTCAAATTCATCTTATCTGCATTTGATTCTTTTGTGGTTTCACCATTCCCATCTGGTCATTGAATTTAGATGCATTTGCATTTACTCCTCTGGGAATAGGTAAAGGAAATTCTTCCACAGGTGACCTGCCAAAAAGGCAAAAGTTGCTTTGATTATTCTTTTTTGTCTTTGACCAATTGCTTTCCATTTCACTTTCATTCTCTTATGTTGGTTGTAAGGGATCCCCTCTTTAGCAAAAGAAAAACCTAGGATTCCCTTAATGCAGTGAGCATTACTGTGGCTGCTTTCTCTATTTTATCAAATTCTTTCAGTTTTACTTTTATTCTCTCATATTGGTTGTTGTCAATTTTAGGATTCCCCTAATGCAGTGAGATTTATGGCGGCTGCTGTCTCTATATTTGGTCCGCGGAAGATAATTCAAGAGATCTTTTGCATTGAACCTGAAGCAAAACAATTCTTGCATGTCTTCAAGGAAATCTTTATTCCTTGGTGCTTGCAGGCTAACAGTCCCACTACTAGCATGCGACTAGATCTCTTGCTTTTGTTACTTGATGATGAATGCTTTGCAGAACAGTGGGCTAGCATTGTTACACATGCAACAAATTTGGAAGAACTGAAATCCGGAAAAGGGATTGTGGACTCTGATTGCCGCCTCTCTCTGTTGGCTATGCTCGTTGAGAAAGCAAGAGAACAAACTAGCATTAGAGGCACTTTCCAAGTTCCCCAGGCTGCCCATTGGCATCATCAGCTTTTGGATTCTACTGCCATTTCTGTTGCTCGAGCTTTTCCACCTTTTGAAACTTCTAGTGTTTCATATATGCGGTAAGTAACAAATTCCTGAAATATTTTCCTTACGCGCGTCTTGATCTAACTCTTCTACATGGAAGTGTACATTCTCTAGTGTTACAATGGTTGCATTTTACTGTTTACCTAACTTTGGCATCTAATAAGTTTTACCTGCTATTGAATTTGAAACGATGACTCCCACCATATTAAAGCAGTACTCTGACCAGAGAGTTAAGTATCTCATTTATTAGGCTTGAGGATTTTCACTGGTTGGGGGGAGGGGGGGATGTTGTGGATCGAGTCATTTCTATCACACTTATATTTTAAAATCATTTGAACTGTTAAGGGTCTTATTGAACTAGGAGTTGTTATCTTTTGCCTTGAATCCTTGGTAATTGTCTCCTACCTCAAAATTGTATAGTGTAAATCTCAATCTGCTCTTCTGAATGGGGTAAATCTATTACTGCAACTAAAAGCTTTTGTTAATTGTTGACACCAGAATATTCTTTGATGGCCTTCCAAAATAGTGATATTTGACATTTAAGTGCGTAGAAACATGTAAAAAAAGTTATTAGTTCCGACGAAGTTACTGCAGTTGTAACCTTGAAGTGATTTTAATGCGTCTAGCATATATGTCTAGCTAGATGCTTGCTGATCAAAGCCATCGTTACAACCTTGAAGAGAATGAGGGGCTGTACATTTCTCTCACAACAGTGGTGTGTTGCAGGATGATAAACTATTAATGTAGTTGAAATTCGTTTTACAGTTGAAAAGTGTATTCTAGGTCCAGTCAAGATATGCTGTTTGCTTTCTTTTAGCTAGGCAAGAGCCAGCTTCTGTCAATGGGTGTATGTTAATGTTACCTCACAGGATAGACGCAGGTTCAGGAATCTTCCACGTATATTGACTTAAGCATAGGTAAGCATACTCACCCAAAAATAATAACTGGTAGCCACGCTATGTTGCAGCTTTTAAAAAATTGGTGCCAGCAATTAAGTGCCATAGTCTCCGGCTGCTCCCTTTTTGAAGTTTTTTATTTTTTATTTTTCTAGACTTATTTAGCTCGATGTTTGAAGTGATGGTAGGCTGTGGCTGATGGACTATTTGGACATTGTGGGAGTTTTGTTGGAGTTACACTCTTAGGGTGAGCTACTAAGGGTTCCCTCCGGGAACATTATATATGCACACGTCGTGCCAATGAAATTTGATTTGATTATAGTCCTTATATAAAGTGTGAGAAATAATGACACGGGAAATTATATTGATATATATTAACTGTAATGTCTTACAATAGACCTATTTATATACATTGTTTACATAGAACTAGACATATTTTCTGATGTGGGATACTATACATAATAACTATGTAACACTCCCCCTCAAGCCAGTGCATATAAATCGTATGTAATGAGATTATTACAGATGTAACTAATATGAGAACCAGTGAGAGACTTGGTGAAAATATTTGCATGCTAATTATTTGACCTCACAAACTTTGTAATAATATCTCCCACACTCAATCTTAATAGTTTAGTCCTCTCACGGAATACCGGATTTGCCGCAATATAAAAAGCAGCTTGATTATCACATACTAGTTTCATTTTACTAATTTCTCCAAATTTCAATTCCTTGAGCAGTTGTTGATCCAAATTAGCTCACATATTGCCATAGCCATTGCTCGTTATTCTGCTTCTGCACTAGATCGAGCAACTATATTCTGTTTCTTGTACCAAAATACCTCCTACTAAAACACTATCCAGACGTAGAATGTCTATCAGAAGGTGATCCTGCCCAATCGACGTCTAAGTATCCAACGATTTGTTCATGGCCTCGATCCTCGAACGACAGTCCTTTGCCTCGGGTTGATTTTATATACCGAAAAATTCGAACAACTCCATCATAATGGCTGTCACAAGAAGAGTCCATAAACTAACTTGCAGCACTCACAAGAAAGGAAGTATCAGTTTAGTCACTATGAGGTAATTCAACTTACCAACCAGCTGCCTATATCTTGCAGGTTTGCTAAGAGGCTCCGTTGTCCTTGCAGAAATTTGAAATTTGGATCCATAAGAGTATACATGGGTAAGGGTGGCAAACGGTCCGGGCCCAGTCCTAAACTGGTCTCGCGGGCCGAGCCTAAACGGTCCGGTTCTAAGTGGGCCCGGGCTTCATGGGCCAGGCTTAAACGGTCCCGGACTTCATGGCCTTTTGGGTGTAACCGGGACCGGGACCACGAACTAATGGTCCCCGGCTATGTGGGCCGGGCCCAGTCCTAAGTGGGCCTAAACGGGCCTTGACTATTTTTTAATTTTTTTTTATCTAAGTCGATTTCTTGTAAATTATATAGCTTATATATAATATTATATATAATCTATATCTATAAATATATATACTTTATACATTGCTTTTATATATATACATATATATATGTGGGGGCCTAAGTGGGCCTGACTTTTCTTTTTTAATTTTTTTTTATCTAAGGCAATTTCTTGTAAATTATATAGTTTATATATATATATATATATTACATATACTATATCTATATCTATAATATACATATATACTATACAAATTGCTTATATGTAAATATATGGGGGCCTAAGTGGGCCTGACTTTTTTTTTTTTAAATTTTTTATGTAAGACAATTTCTTGTAAATTATATAGCTTATATATATATATATATATATATAATTTAGATAATTTACAAGAAATTGCTTTATATAAGATTGTATATATAGTAGTATAGTATTATAAATATACTAAGTGTATAGTATATAAGCTATATTCGAATTTCAATATAACATTAGNTTCTAATAATTTTAAAATAACACAAATTGTTTCAAATCAACTTAAAATCTTAAATACGAATGTCTCAAATCAAATTTTTGGATTTTTTTAAAAAAAGTAGCCGTTTGAGCCCGTCTAGGACCGATTGAACCTGCCCACTTAGGACCCGGTCCCGGGCCCAAACGGTCGCGGTCCTAACGGGCTTCTTCAATGAACCGGCCCACTTTGGCCTTAAGCCCCTGGTCCCGGGCTTAAACGGGTAGGCCCGTTTAGGCCCACTACTCATATGGGCTCGCGGGCCTGGGCCGGGCTCGGGCCTAACCGGCTCACTTGCCACCTTTATCCATGGGTCTACAACCGTCATTCCTGTCTCTTCAAGAATATGTAAGGCATACTTCCGCTGTGAAATAACAATACTTGAGCTGGATTCCTTAGTCCGGAAGTGTTGAAAGAAATGTTGCTTCAAACTGGTGATACCATCTTGATCATTGCCACTAATAATAATATCATCAGCGTAAACCATCAAATAAACACATATATTTGAACCAGAACGCCGATAAAACACAGAGTGGTTAGATTCATTTCGATAACTGTATTGAATTTACCAAAGCAGGCTCGAGGAGACTATATTAGACCATAGAGTGACCGACACAATTGACATACAAGGCCACTAGACTCTTTCTGAGCAACAAAACTAGGTGATTGTTCCATATAAACTATATCCGTAAGATCACCGAAGAAAAATGTTATTAATGTCCAATTGATAGAGGTGCCAATAACGAACAACAACCATGAATAGAAAGAGCAGATCTGATGCTATTTTAGCCACGGGAAAGAAAGTATCACTGTTATCAAGCCCAAATATTTGAGTATACCCTTTGGCAACAAGGCGGGCCTTAAGCCGATCAATCTGACCATCCGACCAACTTTGACCGCATAAATCTAACGACAATCATAGTAGATTTACCTGAAGGAAGAGGAACAAGTTGCCAAGTACCACTCACAAGGAAAGCAGACATCTCATTATTCATAACCTGTTGCTATCCTGGATGAGACAATGCTTCACATGTAGACTTAGGGATGGAAACAGAGGACAAAGAAGATATAAAATAATTATGGAGTGATGGCATCAACATAATGTTGATTAGGATTAAGTGTGACTGCATACCTTTACGAAGTGCAATCAGTAGACTAGGAGGAAACAAGTTTGCAGTAGGAGCACGGTTAGGTGCAGGACGTGAATCAGCTGGGCATGATGCTGGATGAGACGACGGTAAGTTAAGAGTGATTCCTGTGGCTGGGGATCTATGAGGAGCAACATTACATTCCTCAACGGTCGGTACGGTAAGACTTGTGGTTGAGGATCCAGGAGGAGCTATAGTAAACTCCTCACGAGTCACTATAGGTAAGATCCCAGATATATCAAGGTGGTCAGAAGAGGTAAAATAAGGTCAAGACTAAAAATGTATGACATCAGCTGACATAAGGTACCTACAAAAATCAGGTGAGTTGCACGATATCCCTTTTGAACTCGAGAATAACCAAGGAAGACATACTTGAGAGCACCAGGAGCTAATTTATTTTTTCCGAGATCTAAGTTATAAATGAGCATGTGCTCCCAAAAACACGAGGGGAAAAGATTATAAAGGTGATTGAGGAAACAATACTGAATGCGAAATCTGACTTTGGATAGAAGATCGAAGGCATTCGATTAATCAAATAACAAGACGTGAGAACTGAATTGCCCCAAAAATGCTGTGGAAAATAGGAATCAATGAGAAGTGTGTAAGCAGTCTCAATGAGGTGCCTATTCTTTCTCTCAACTACCCGATTCTGCTGAAGAGTATACGGACAAGATGTCTGATGAATAATTCCTTAAGAAGTTATCAATTGATGAATTTGAGAGGATAAGTATTCTAAGGCATTATCAATGCAAAAAATGCGAATAGAAACACCAAACTAATTTTTTTTAATTTCAGCACAAAACTCTAGAATATAAAAAACAACTTAGCATAATCTTTCATTAGGAAAATCCAAGTACATCTTGAGTAATCATCAATGAAACTAACAAAATAACAAAATCGTAAGGTTGAACTGACTCTACTAGGACCCCGTATATTAGAATTAACTAAAGAAAAAATATACTCTACACAGACTCTCAACACCATGCGGAAAGGTTGTTCGGGTATGTTTTACAAGTTGACATGGCTCACAATCTAATGTATACAAACTAGACAAACTAGGCACCATCTTTTGAAGCTTGGATAAACTCGGATGTCCTAATTGTTTGTGAATTAGGTTTAGAGGATCTATAACTGGACATGTTGTGTAGGGATTGAGTGAGTCAAGGTAGTAAAGGCTGTGTGATTCACCCCTATGCCAATCGTCTGTCCCGTACTGTTGTCCTGCATAACAAAAGAGTCATCAATAAAATATGTACAACAATGGAGGGCATGAGTCAACCGACTAACAAATGCAAGATTAAAAGGACAGTCAAGGGCGTAAAGAACAAAATCTAAAGTGATAGAGGATAAGGATTAGCTTGTCCAACTCCTTTTGCTTTTGATTGGACTTCATTGGCTAAAGTAATGTTGGGAAGAAATTGTGAATAAACAATATTTAACAAAAGTGACCTATTATATGATAAATGGCACCTTTGTCCATAACCCACGGTTCAAGAGTAGTAGATTGGGAAACACAAGCAAAAAAATTATCAGCAACAGAAGTATGAGCTCGAGCAACAGAGGCTACTTGTGGAGGTGTCTGTTTACTTGCTCGATACTGAAAGAACTCATTATATTCCCATTCAGATAAAGAAAACCTCTGGTTATGTGCAGTCCCGATTTGAGCAACATGAACATTTTTAGGTGGTCGACCATGCAAAGTGTAACACACCTCATAGGCGTGTCCAAGCTTATTATAATAACACTTGGGTCGAGACCTTCCAAAACGACCTCCTTGTCTATTATCCATAGTTAGAGTGCCCGATTTTTCAATGTTTGTGATGCGAGAACAACGAAGTCAACTGTTTGTGATGAGATCATTGTGTGATTTGGCACTTCAGCAAGGCAAAGTAATCGAGAGAACAATTCAACAACTGTAGGGACAGTCGGGTTAGCCAAAATCTGATCGCATGAATCAAGGTCATTAGGAAGTCCAACGAGTGTAAGAACTAGTAACATCTTCTGTCCTTGCTGTTCTTGCTTTTTAACACTAGTAGAAATTGGCATCAATTTTTGTAATTCCTCTATGACTGCCTGTACTTGACCCAAGTACGTAAACATACCCAATTCCTATTTCTTCAAACTTGTCATCCGCAATATCGTATCATAGAAACGAGATATGTCATTAGTGTATAAAGTGCGAGCCTTTTACCAAACTAAATGACATATCTGAAGTGCTTTGGCCTTCTCATCTCAATCGTTAGCCTTTTTGGTCAAGCGGTCTTGAACACCTTGACCCTTGCACCACGACTCCACCGGGAAACCCAAGCTAAGTAGTTTGAACATTCCTTTAAGGGTTTCGAAGTAATCATAACGCTTGAACTTCCATAACCCGTGTTGTTAGAACCAAAAATATCAAATCCCAAAGGCGTTGGATTGCAGAGGTCGAGCAAATTATCACCAAATAATAGAAACAATCAATTGTAACTCGCTCAAACAGGTAAAGGAAACACTATAGCTATCGAAAAAATCACTGTAGCTGCCGGAAAAATTGCGAAATGATCGGAGTAAAAAGAATAGTATGGTATGCTTGGAATCACTGGACGATCAAATTGTCTTGAAGAAATTTTGTTAAAAACCGGCTGGAAAGTGCTTCACGAGCCGATGCGTGAGTCGGAGTCTCGTCAAAAAATTTCTTGCTGGTGCATGAGCATGCGTGACAAGGGTTTTGCCATGAAATTTTTACGGGTTGGTTGCTAGAAGCTGATCTACCTCGTGGTGGTGCTGGTTTTTGCACCACACCGATCGCGTACAGACCTGGGTAGCTGAAAAATTTCTGGTTAACTAATTTCTTCTTCTCGAAATTGCTGGTAATTATTGCACAACGATGAATCTCGTACGGTTGCTCTGATACCATGTGAGAAATAATGACACGGGAAATTTATTGATAGATATTAACTAAAGTGTCTTACAATAGACCTATTTATATATATTGTTTACATAGAAGTAGACATTTACTTTCCGATGTGGGACACTATGCATCATAACTATCATTTTCAAAAAAACTATACATAATAATTATCTAACAAAGGTTTTTGAATCCTGAATCTAGGCAAAATGTTATGCTACATATCAAATCTTTGGATTCTCCTTGATAAGAAAAATGTATATCGAGCCTAACTCAATTCCAAAGATAGCTCATGAGCTGATGATTGGCCAAAACATAAGTTGCACGGACTCTTCACTTTCGATACTGCACCTATGTTGACACGACGTGGGTATGGGATCCGTATAGGGTCAACAGATTTGGGGTTCTTTGACCAAAATCGACGGAGAAATTCGGGACAAATACAATAGTTTCTGAAATCAAAACAAAAGCTAGGATGAAATTGAAGAAAATGCAATAACTTGTATAAAGAAATTTCTATGTTAGTTCTTTTTCTTTTTATAAGGAAACAATAAAGTTAAGGTTGAGATTCGATCCTGAACTATGTCAGTCCTTTTCTTTTTATCTCCTTCTCAGATTCTTCTCTTGATCAATATTTTCTCCGTTTCAGAGTTCCTTGTATGTTTTCCACTTAATGTCTCGTAATTTAGACATATTTTCAAAACTTTATATTTAGATATTGAATTATATTTAGCTGAATCCGAGCATCCATATCCCCGAATCTTAAAATTTAGATAATGAAGGATGCTACCTTTATATCCACAACCGTATTGGACCCCTGCACTCAACTCCGAGAAACTTAGGCCAATGTGGCACTAACACCCTCCACATGCCTAAGATTGGACATCTGAAGCATGAACAATACAACATGGGGGCCCAACATTGGATACGTCGAGAATAGGAATGAGTGGCTCTGATACTGCGATAAGGAATAGATTTTGGGTTAACACAAACCCAGAGACTATTGTCAGCTAAGGATGTCCACTATCATATAAGGAAAGTACAATCCATTTCCTCAACCAATATGGGCTACAGGAACAATCATTCTATGTTTAGAGACTTTTTTCCATAGGATGACTACATGGTTATCTTCTCTATCTCATTACCTATGATTATAGCCTTTCTTGTTTTTTGTTTTCCCATCTCAACATTAAGGCTTCGGTGGTAAGGAGGTGTTGTTTCATTTGCTTAAGGCTAGAGTTAGTAGCACTAAGCACTCTGAAAACCTAATTTTTTGTTATTATTGTCTTATTTTGGGCTGCTTTGTTGTTCCGTTGCAGTGCTGTTCTGGGTGGCATAGCAGGAGATGATGAAACAAACTTTCTGTCCCAAAGTACATTAGTACTAGTATTCGAGGAGGTTCTTAAGAAGTTGACAGTTTTCATGATGGATTCTCCCTTCATATGGGTCAAGGAAACGTGTTCTCTGATACTTATCAGAGACAAAAACACTGAGCTGGGATTTGAACCTTCTATTGATGTGAATCAGATGGTTAACTTTGCTTTACAAGCGCTTGATGGTGGTTTTTGTGCATTGAAATGTTTGAATCATGAAATTGAGCTCGTTTCACGAATCTTAGCTGCAATTTTTGTGATTAAGTGGGAGTGCCGCATGGCTACTGTCTTCAATGATAAGTTTGGTGAAGAAACAGCGGAAACAATTCAGAGAAGGTTGGCCTCTTGTGAACTAGTGCATTCTCTCGATCGCAAAATTGATAATCAGTTCCTATTTAGTATCAACATAGATAGTCGAAAGAGCCTGGAGAGTATCTTGGTCCAGGCTGTGAGGATTGCTGTGCTCAAGGATAGAAATTTGGATGCTGCCAAAGTCGCATCGTTATGCTGTCACTGGGTCCTTGAACTTCTTGAATGTCTCTGCCCTGATCAGTTTGGGGAACAAAAGCTATTAGACAGATTCCTAAGCCAGGACGAATCTTGGCCTGCTTGGGTTGCACCAGATATGAAAGATGGGAAAAGAGCAGCCGTGGTGAAAACTGAGAGTGTTTCAACCGATGTGAGTGTTCTTCCCGCTTAAGTATTTTTTATTAAGCAGTTTGGGATGATCTTGTGCACCTATTTTTCTATTCACTTCTATGTCTAGCTTGCTGGGAAAGAGGGAATTACAGTGAGGTCTTGTAACTGATAGATATTCCTGTATACTTTCTCGTTCAACTATTTAGTTTTGTAACATTTTCTGTGGCATTATTTTGATCTTTTTCAAGGTGAGTTACATTGTATCATGCATTCAACATAAAATCTGTATTATGAGATCTCAGAATATTCTGTGTGTGTACTTCACCCTTTGCAGACCCCAAGAGACACCAGGTTTGTTGCTCTGATAGACAGACTTATTCCAAAGATAGGGTTTGACAAAATTATTGCTGGTGCTGTTTCTGATGTGTCTCCATCTTCAACTGAGGATCCTAGT